TTTTCGGGCAAAACGCTCATGATTCGGGCAACGACACTTGAGAGAAAACATTACAAAATAATGCTGTTGGTGTGATTTCTAAAACTCGTAAATAGAGTTTCTAGTAAGTTACTTTTCTAGAACTTTTTCTTTTAATATGTTTTAGATTTTAATAGATCAAGACTGTTGACAGAGGTCTTTGAGTATGTAAGCTTTGAATATAACTATTTTTGGAATTATAGCAGTTTCATTAGGTATGTGAATTGTGAACGGTTTTTTGTTCACGCAATTTGAGTGCGTTTGCATCCTGATTTCAACATTCACACATTTGGGCATTGTGTAAATTTTTCAGGCAAGAAGGCCACCGCCCCTTTAAGTAAGAAGGTGCCTGTACGCCTTGAAATGTTCTGAGCATGATGTAACATTCCGAAAGCGTGATATACGTTTTGCAAATTGTCACAAAAGAGACTAAAGCAAAACGTGAAGACCACATGAAGGGCACCTCTTTCCAGGGGTTGTATCAAAAGAGAAAGGGATGGACATGTGTGAACGAAGGGACTGTAACCTGTAAAAATGCCTCAGTTTTTCTTGAACTCAATCCCTAACCCCCCACCGCCCACCCGTGGATGGAATATCCATACAGGAATACAAAAATCACCAATTTGATGACCAAAAACATCCTTGGTGCTTCTGGGGTAAATTTGAGCTCTTTAGGGCCTGTTTACAAGGAGAGAGGGTTACCATAGCACTCACACATTTCCTCTTTTTTCTTCGTCATGTTTACAAGGCCCGCGTAGGCGGGTTACCCTATCTGCGTGCTAGGGTCAACTTGGCAGGTGCATTAACTTTTTCTCTTGTAAACACTCCAGGTAGGATTAACCCGCCTACCCGGGATAACTTTCTACTTGTTTCCAGGCCCTTTGAGTGTAACCATGCATTAAGTTGTCCTGGGTTGTAGGGTTACCCTACCAGTGAAATTTTGCTTGTGAACCCAAGCTATCTTTTGTCCTCCAGCTAGGGTTATCCCGCTTGCTAGGGTGACCCTCCTTCCTTGTAAACAGGCCCTTACAGTAATCTGTGAAACTCTGTGTCTCCTCCATTGTCTGAGGCGCAGATGAGGGTAGCAGTGTAAGGGAGTGAGAATATTTATTCTTACACATAATTTGATCTGGCATATTGATATTTATTATTGTTAAGGTACATCTTAAACTACCTCCGCAATGGTGAGCTGCTTTGCTCAGACGACAAAACAATCCGAAAAGAACTGCTTAAGGAGGCCATGTTTTATCAAATTCAAGGAATAATAGATCAACTGGAAGGATTGAAAGGGAACATCTCTCCATTTGAAGACTCCTGGATAATAAAGGAAGAAAGACACTAGTCAGCTGTTCAGTCATGGTTGTCTCCTAATGCGACATGTTCTCTGTTGTACCGAGCTTCAACTGATGGTTACA